AAATACAAGGACCTTTTGAAATCTCAAAAATGTGGCATATGTGAACATCAACAACCCCTGTTGTAGATGGAAGCCTAGGACTGGTTGGAAAAAATTCCAGTAGACTCATTAAAGGGATTCCTGGAAGTCCATGCCTCAAAGAGATACAAAAAATTGTTCTGACAAGTACAGCCCACACTTTATGAAGGGCTTTATCGATGTAATATTTTTTTTGTCAGTAGAAAGTGTCATGATGCCATTTCTAACCTTAGGTCCCTAGGCGGGACCCGGAAAGAAATGTGTAAACGCCAGAAATCAAAGAAAATAAAAATAATAATGACGATAATAATAATAAAACACCGTTTTAGTATATGTATTGCCGAAGTAAGGACGAAAAGCAGTCTTGTCTTTCAATCTCACCTGAAGACGTCAACACACGAAGTTGAAACGCGTTGTCATTAAAAATCTTTATATATGATAAAAAATAAAGAAATACAAATAAGACAAAATAAAAGCATTATTTCATAATATCTAGCACCGAACTATGCGGGTAAATCCATGTATAGTGTTTCCGGGGTTGCCAACAGTGAGGAATTCATCTGAGAGACAAACAACTACATCGACTTTTAACCGTAGCGTAATCTTCACTTAGAACTGTACTACAGGAAGTACAACCGGGACAAAATGGCGCGGAATCGTTTGGGCGTAGGGCTTCTTAAACTGAGGTCAATGACCGGAGCGGAGTGTTCCCCTGATAAGCATCAATGGCTATGTGTTCAGGACCAAGGTCAGCCTTCAAATCAGATGATATCGACCGATATCTATTTTACCTAAGACACGCATCGCATTAAATGATACGTTTTGAGACGCGCTTGGAGTGAAATGCTTAAAAAACAAAACAAAAAAATCTCCAGGAAGCTGACTGACTGCCATTTTCGTCACTGCATGAGATGACGTCACTAAATACCCGTCACCGGAACCACGTAACTTCATATCTATCAAAGGGAGATAATCGTCTTTTGTATCCCTACACTATAACCCAAAGAGAGCGTCAGAGTTAACAAGACGATTGTAACGGGTATATTTTCACTCACCCGCGTCATTTCACTGAATGTGACATATCTGTTGTTATGCCGACCATGACTTATTTTTGTCGACTCATATTGCTGAATATATTTACATAGCCCAATAACCCCAATGAAAACTCTCTCTCTCTCTCTCTCTCTCTCTCTCTCCCTATATATATATATATATATATAGCATTGTATTCATTTATAAATTCCTCTGCGCTACCTACAACCATGTTATGCCCAAAATGACTAAGCAAAATCCCATAACCTAATTCTAATAAACTTTATTTCCAACACCAAAAACATAAATACACGAACGAAATATGAAAAGCAAAACAACAAATAGATACAATAATATATATGAATGAAATATCAATATGTAGAAATGATCAATCGGCCGGTGAAGTAGCTTGATATACACACTTTCTTCAACGACCTAAACAGCAGGCATGAACAGAGATATACCTGCTTTTTAAACAGTGTTATATTATGTCTACCGGCCTGTCAATTCGTGATTCGTAATTTAGAAAGTGTGCCTTCTGTTAAATTTAAAAACTGTGTCCCCCCTTTAGATTACTTTCCCGCACACACACATACAGGCACACACACACAAACACACACACACACATATATATATATATACACATATATGTATATATATATATATATAGTACAGGTAAAAAAAACTGTTGGCATCTAATCCAAGTGGGTCCTAATAATAAAAAATATTAAAACTGATCTACAAAAAGTGATCAATGTATTTATTACCACAGAGCATACAAAGAGAGAAATCCAAAACTCCCTCATGAGTATAGACTATTTCAACTGAGGCAAAATATGTCAGCTTAAATAGACTATACCTATGAGGTAGTTTTGGATTTCTCTGTTGTGTAATATATATATATATATATATATATATATATATATATATAGTACAAGTAATAAATCAGTTGGTATATAATTCAAGTGGATCCAAATAATGTAAAATATTATAACTGATCCACAAAAAGAGCTCACTGTATTTACTATAACGAAGATATAATTTTATTAACAGAGAAATCCAAAAATTACATCATGAGTATAGTCTATTTCAACTGATGCAGAGTATGTCAGTTTAAATAGACTATACCCATGAGGTAGTTTTGGATTTCTATTGTGTAATATATATATATATATATATATATATATATATATATATATATATATATATATATAATACATGTAAAAAAAATCTGTTGGTATAGAATCCAAATAATATAAAATATTAACACTGATCCATAAAAAGAGATCAATGTATTTATTATAAAAGAATATGTAAATTACATAAGAGAAAAATCCAACAGAGGTGACTCATGAGATAATTTGGGATTTCTCTGTTATGTAATTAATATATATATATATGTGTGTGTGTGTGTGTGTGTGTGTGTGTGTGTGATAGCTTAAATGCCGCTCGATAGGGCGGCTTTTAAGCTACCTCTTGCGGAGGGCTCTTGATTGGACCTTTGGCTTCACACTTCTGAATTGAAAATGCCAACATGGGACTTTTAACTAGAAATAAGTTGTATGTATGTATTTATATAATGTTTCATTTTCAAAATACGGTCAACATATTGTGTCCATGTACATAGTTGATATTATTGAGTGTTGGTTTTTTGATTTTATTAATAAGGTTTCCATTATTTTTAACCTTATTTTTTTACATGTAAAAGATGTTTTTATATTTGTATTATCAACAAGTATGCTGTGAATACGGTCCGGTAGATCTTCATGAGTATTTAAATGGGACATAATTGAGCTATGGTCAGAAAGATGTAGCGTGATTCTTCTTGTTAATCATGTTGTAGTGTGGCCAATATAATTGTTTACAAATTTTGATTGATTAAGAACACAATTCCTTAATGGACATTTAAATTCGTAAATATTTGTTCTATTTAATTTTGATCTAATAGTTGAATTATAATTTTTAATTATAAGGTTAGCAGTTTAAATTTTTTTGTAATAAATAATTAATCTAATGTTTTTGTTCTTGCCTACTGGTTTTGTGCGATCTATTTCTAGTTGACAGTTAATATATTTCAACCTTGAAAATGGCAAAATGTATAGCCGAAAGCGCTCAAAAAAAAAAACAACATTCTGGCAGTTTTTGGATAATTTATCTACTGAAAAGAACAAATTCACATGAGAAAATATATAAAAAACTTAATCAAATCACCTTGTCTGTCATATCTAATGAAACTTGCATACACACACACACACACGCACACACACGCGCACACACACACACACACATATATATATATATATATATATATATATATATATATATATATATATATATATATGAAGAAAATATCTGGAAAAACAAACAAAAAATCCTTAGAATGTGATTATGTTGTTTTAATTATGAATTAAATGTCGACGTCTGACGTTTCGGTTTAATAACCTTCTTCAGGACAATATTCATTAAAAAAAATACAATACAATTAACATAATCAGTATAACTCGACGAAAACGATGGACATAAAAAACAAGTCTTATCCAAAACAGATGATAGAAAATTTTGAATGATTAGCTTTCCGTTTGAGCGTGGTCACGTTGTCGTCAAATGGGCGACGCTTTAAAAAACTTTATTCTTAAAAATTTTATAAAATTTGATTCCGATGGAAAGCAGTTCGTTGTAGTAATACGCGGAGACTAGTAAATTCTTGTATCTTCGGATAAGCATGCAGTCCTCCATGTAATAAAATGAATTCAGGTTTGTATTTCCAGTCGACAGTATGTTAGCAAATATAAATGGATATAAATTCGACAGAATGAAGAAAATATCTGGAAAAACAAACAGAAATCTTTAGAATGTGATTATGTTGTTTTAATTATGAATGAAATGTCGACGTCTGACGTTTCGGTTTAATAACCTTCTTCAGGACAATATTCATTAAAAATACAATACAATTAACATAATCAGATACAAGAATTTACTAGTCTCCGCGTATTACTACAACGAACTGCTTTCCATCGGAATCAAATTTTATAAAATTTTAAGAATACGTTTTTAAAGCGTCGCCCATTTGACGACAACGTGACCACGCTCAAACGGAAAGCTAATCATTCAAAATTTTCTATCATCTGTTTTGGATAAGACTTGTTTTTTATGTCCATCGTTTTCGTCGAGTTATACTGATTATGTTAATTGTGTTGTATTTTAATGAATATTGTCCTGAAGAAGGTTATTAAACCGAAACGTCAGACGTCGACATTTCATTCATAATTAAAACAACATAATCACATTCTAAGGATTTTGTTTGTTTTTCCAGATATTTTCTTCATTCTGTCGGATTTATATCCATTTATATTTGCTAACATATATATATATATATATATATATATATATATATATATATATATATATATATATATGATATTTTATTTACTTATTTACAACCTTACACAGCAATTTTTCAAAATGAGCGCTTTGATGAACAGAGTTTGTCTGAAAATTCATCTAGGAATTTTAAAAATGTCATGCCAAATTTTCCACTGTTTTGCGTTTTTTTCTTTATTCTTTTATTTCTTTCCTTTTTTTCAGAACTTATATAAAAATAGGAAAATTATCCATAAATTCACAAATGAATAAAAAAGCAAAATCATGAAATCTTATTTTGCTGGTTGGTCGCTTTTGTTTAACGGTATGTCTACCTCACTGGTTTATTTAATAACGTTATCTCAATATTCTGTACGCAATTTTATATTATTTACTTATTTGTGATAATAATGTTTTTAGTGATACAAACCTGACTAATTAACCCATATCTGGGGAGAAGAAGAGGTGACTTGATATCTTTGCCAACGGTATTTGTATGCAAATGAATCAAACCCGACGAGAATTGGAACACGGTTCTCCGATTAATAATTGCGAGTCATTATCTATTACACTTCTCGCATATCCAAGCT